AAGTAAAATCCACCAAAGAAGAGAGAGGAGAAACCAAAAATAACAGTGGATGAAAAAGACACCGTTAGCCAGGTCAGTCTTTCACCCGGTCCCAGGAGCCTTTGCTTTACCTGTTTCTTAAAAATCAACGACACCGTGTAGACAGTCTACCAGGAGGAATTATTCTCATTTCTGGCTTGACTTACTCTGATATGAAGTTGCTCAAAATGGAAACAACTCTTTTGGATTCCAGCTACTACATTGCTTATTATATTAGAATCCGGCTTATTATATTTTACTGCTGTTGGTATTTTTGCAAAGCTATGTTTTTGAGCTGGCTTTGCGACATTTACCTGCGTGAGTGTGTAATTGCCTGACTCCAGTATAAAGCAAAACCAACCTGCTGATACTCGCAAATGACGATATTTGTAGCACGCCGAAGGCATGCTTAATAACGCCAACTTTAAACCGAACTTTTTTCACAGAAATATGAAGCCATATAAAAATTAATGTTGCATATGTAATACTGTGTATTTGCACTGCTGTAGTTACCCTGCGCCTTTCAGCACTGGAATCCCATTAAGCTTCGCCTTCAGCGTGCAAGGGGCAGCTTGACCTTCAAATCTGTAGATAAACAAGAAAAACACAGTCGAAGCATTGTCCTCTAAAGAGGGTTCAGTTTAGCCAGCGATTTAGTCACTTCATCTGGGTTTTGTTCATTAATTAGTGCGGGATGGAGAGAAACAAATTGGTTTGCGTTGTGATGGACGGTATCCCAAAGCAAAGAGCTGCTCTTGACCGTTGGCTTCTCCAGAAAAGCAGAGGAGCAAACGATACCGTTGCACCTGGCTGGCTTTGGGGGTGGACCTGTGCAACCCTGACTCTACCACCTCGGTTTGGAGGAGACGGTTTTAGCAGGAAAACCTCACCAGGGGAGGTTTAGATTGGATATTAGGAAAAATTCTTTCACTGAAAGGGTTATCAAACATTGGAATGGGCTGCCCATTGGGTGGGGGATTTGCCATCCCTGGAGGTGTTTAAAAAAAGGGTAGATGTGGGACTTGGGGACATGGTTTAGAAGTGGTTTTGTCAGGGTAGGTTAATGCTTGGACTTGATGATCTTGAAGGTCTCTTCCAACCTCAACAATTCTATGATTCTGTGAAAAGTCCAAGTTGGAACAAGTTGCCCCGAGAAGCTGTGGCTACCCCATCCCTGGAGGTGTTGAAGGCCAGGTTGGACGGGGCTTGGAGCAACCTGGGCTGGTGGGAGGTGGGGGGTTGTAACTGGATGATCTTCAAGGTCCCTTCCAACCCAAACCATTCTGTGATTCTACAACTTTGTACGTGGCTATGGACAGGGGTGGAGCAGGTGCAATTTATTCTACTGTCTCTGGAGCAACACACATCCCGTTGTGTGAGAGGAGGGAGTGGTCTCTTCACTCTCTTGCCCATGAGGCTTTGGGCTGAAAAATGTTGGAAATGTGTAATGGGGGATGCTTCTTTTCCACCAGAAGAGTTGCTGATGTTTTATTTTGTGGCTTCTTCTAAGCCAACCTTCTTACTCTCTGTAAACTTGTCAAAGTTGCTGAGTGGTGCTGGGTGGGATACTGTGCCCCACAAAATGTTTGTGATGGAAACCAACCCTTCTTTTCTGTAAACGATGCCAAGTGTAGTCCGTATTCATCTCCAGGACTGCGGCACAGGGAGGGGATGGCATCGGCAGAGTATTGTGCCTGTAGTGCCCCATTCCTGCCTTCGTTTACGGGCAAAGGGGGTCTCCTGCAGTGGTGGCACCACCAGCTAGGAATGCCCTGGGATGTGTTTTCTCATCCTCCTCTTTTTCCTTCAGCAAAAGCCTCTCTGCCTTCGGAAAATCTTCCAGCTCCAGCCATCGCTTTGCATAGCCAGGGCAGTTTGGCCCAGCCAGCCACAAGAGCTGTATTTCCTAAATACGTGCTCGGTGTCCCCATCGCTTCTCAGGATCCCTCTGTGTGCCAC